AGGCCGGGCCGGGCCGGGCCTTTCCTTCCTCGCTGCCCCTCATGGCGTCCGACAGCGACACCGAGGAGTTCTACGACGCCCCCGAGGACGTGGACGTGGCCCCCGGCGGCGCCTCGCCCGTGCCGTGAGTGCCGCGCCGGGCCGAGCTGGGGGGAGCGGGGCGGGTGTGAGGGGACACGGCCGGTTGTGACAGCTGGTAGCCCCCCGCCTCTTCCAGGCTCGAGGCCCCGCGCCACATCATAGGATCCTCGAGGCTGGGCCGGGGGGGCCTACAGAGACCTTCCTGCCCCGCCCCACTAGGATCCGATCATGGTGAGACACTCATCTGCCGGCTGGGAAACGAGCTAGCGAGCGCGTTTGGCTGTTGGGAGGTGGCAGCAGTAAAGCAAGGCAGCATCTTGTGAAAGGGAAGACAGCGCTTGTAGTTATAGGCCTCGCTGCTGTATATAACTCGGGAGCCCAAAAGGAGAAAACCATGGATGGAAGGAAAAATAACCAATGCACAAAATGAGACTTCTGGTGAAGTTCTTGTGGCTGGCACAGCGTAACAGTGTCTGCGGGGCTTTGTTGAATAGGTCTTTTTCACTTGTTGTACAACATGAGTGCTCCATGTCAGGGAAGCTTATTGTCACGTGTGCTACATGAAGGAGAAGAAAGCTCATGAGCTGTGTTTTCCTAGCAGTATGGTCAGGCAAACCTAAACCAGCCCTTATTTCAAGGATGCTAGTCCTGGTGTGTAAATTTCCTAGTGTTAATCCTGATCACAGTTAGGCTGCATCATTTAGCAGCCAACTCAAAGCCCCTAGAGCATGGGCTTCCAAAATGTTTGGCCCACAGATCATTGTCAGCCACAAAGCAGCAAATATTGGATGTTTTGTTTTCATAGATACGTATGAACACTTCCTTTTTTTTGCAGATCAAAAGGAAGGTCCTTAGAAATGTTATTCCATTGCTAACCCTTCAACTATAATAAATTTAGTGGTTGGGCTTAGTGTCTAGAACCAGCAATGGATGATCATGCTGGCAAATCAGTAGTGTAAAAGTCTGCTAAGGAAATTGAGTAGAGTAGGAAATAAGTGAGACAAGACAGGATAGCTGACTGATTGTGTGCACTGTGATGTTAACTGTTCTTATTTCTTATTCTGATATACAGTAACATAGAAATTACTTCTGTCTTAAAGGGTGTCTTTTGCATTTAACATTTGGCTATGGAAGTCCTTTAATTCATGTTCACATTCTAGAAATGTTTAAGGTGCAAAATTAGAATTTTTTTCTTTGATTCATCTTTTTTGGCTAGTGGTCACTGACACAGAAAATGTTTCTCTCTTCATAAGAGAGAGCATCCCACACTGGCAGTCTTTAAAAATGTGATGGTTGATTTCTGAGTGTCCTTAGTGTGTTAAGGGGGGGGAGGGGGAGATAACAAAAATATGGGAACTAGCATTTCTTAGATATTTGACTACAATGCAGTTTTCTCCAAAAACATTAAATCCTGACTTTGCCATTAATAACATAGGGCGCAATCATGAATATGTATGTAGTGGCTTGGATGGGAGTGAATCCAGAAAAAGGAACTATAATTTAGCAAAGGACAGTCCAAATTCATGGTTTTGCTTTATTATCTGGGAACACGGAGAAAGAGACATAATCTAGGGCTCTGAATACAGGGATAGGTCTAATCCTTTCATTTATATGGAAACCTCTGTGACCTTGGAGTCACGCACAACCTTTCTTTGTTTTGCTGCCTACAAAATGGGGACTATGCTGCCTGCCCACATTGCAGAAGTTGTGTGAAGGCTATTTAATGTTTGTAAATAATTAAAAATTAAAGTGCTAAGTATGACTCACAGAATCAAAGTAGCATGTGTTAGCTGGCTGTGGTTTCAAGTATCTCATTTACTCAATTAGAAGATGAGGGTTATTTTCCCCTATTTAATGTGGAAAGGGGAGCCCCTCACCTTACAACGAGTATGAGGTGGCAGGGGGTGGGCAGCAGCTGCAGCTCTAGCTCCAACCCCAGGGTTGAGGCTGGAGGCAGCTGCTGACTTTGCACCCCTGCCTCTCCCCCTCCTCCCCCCAACACTCCTTCCTTGCAGCCTCAAGACACCACTGCTCTCCTCCACCCCATGCTCTATCTCCCCTTCTGCCTCACTACTTACCTTTGCTCCATGCCAGCAGGCTCCATCCTTGCTGCAGCACAGAGCATGTGTTCCAGTGCCGGCTCTGTACTGCTGCTATGGGACCAGATGGGAGCCATGATCATGACATGGCTCCAACAGGGATGGAACTTGCAAGGAAGGAGTGGCAGAGCCAAGGGAAGGGAGGTGGAGGGGTAGCTTCAGGGTAAAGACTCTGGGGGGAGGGGTCAGAGATGGGAGGAAGGGGGTGGAGGCCTAAGGCTGGGGTGGGTTGGAGCAGAAGCAGCATGGAGGTGGGGAAAGGAGGATCAGGGACCTGAGGCTGAGGGGGGGCAGGCACAATGGAAGGGTAAGTGGCAGAGGTAGGTGGCAGGGGGCAAGCTCCCTGCCTCTCTCTGCCTGCCCTCACTGCTCCCCCTACTGTCTGTGCTACCACATGCCCCCTACTGCTTCCCCTACCACCTGCCCTCCCACTGCCTCCCCATTGCTGTCCCCCATCACCTTTTCACCTCCTCACTACTGCAGACAGTGGGGGGGATTTAAGATGATTCTCCAATAATTAGATTCCATACATGGAAAATTATAATAAATCTGTAAATTTTCTTTATCTAGAATCTAATTATTGGGGGGGGTTGTCTTAAATTTATGGTCATCTTGTATTTGGGTAAACATGGTAGCATTCTTTGTACCATATTCGGTAGTCAAAATGCCTGCCTGTCATTGTGTTTGACCTTTCTTGGTATTAATAATTCACATTTTAAAACATGTTTTTTGAAATCCAGGCCGTTCCATCTAGATCAGACAGCAGTTTTTTGTTACCTGTAGTTTAGAAGACGAACATACTTTTTTGTTTCTAGTCCTGACCCTGGAGCGCTGGTTGCACTTGAAGGTTTCAGTTCATATTGGGAAGTCATGACAGTAAGAATTGTCTGAAGATTTACCATGTGGAAGAGAGGGTTGGAAAAGCCTTCAAAACACAAGGCACTATGGTAGTCCCTCAAGCTTTGCCAAAGCTGTCTGTATAGCTTAACAAACATTGCAACAGCACTTCCCTTGCTAATTTTTGCTGGCATTCAAGAATGACTCAATTAATTTGTTCCATGGGAAAAAAAACTTTATCAGGTTTGTACCAGCCATTTTTATATGGTACAACAGTGTGCATGATCTATATGTGAATATCCTTGAGTTACTGGGTGCCTGTATATAAACTTCACATGCTTGAGTTTTTCCAGACGCTTTTGGCAGTTGCTAATTTAACTTTCCATGCTTTAGCTTAAATATAACAAAGTTGAGATTCACCTAAATATCATGCATACAAGTTAATGTAATTTTTAATGTTGAGTTTGACAACACACACATACACGAATGCTGCCAGCTTAAAATTGTTTTAATAGAAACAGGCTAGTCAACTGTGTTTGCAAAAATGGCAACGTTTTAACCCTACAGAACTTTGTGGTTTCAGTGCCTTTGCAAATGAGTGTTTCTTGGCTTTCTGCCTTTTTTACTATGTTGATGTCATGTGTGATAAATTTATTTAATGTCATCTGCAACAAATTATATCATGTTGATGTGTCAACTTGAGAGTTATATGACCAAAAAGGCTTTTTCAGTATGACCGTTCTTATTTATACCCTGTGTAAGTGATCAGAATGTTAAAAACTGTTTGATAGGACTATGTGAATTATACATAAGAGAGATTAGCTGTATAATTTCACATTCTGACTTTAAATGGGCTACCAGTGAGATCAGGAATTTAAGGGAAATGGTCTAAACTCCTACGACGAACCAGTTAGACACTACAAAGTATTAATGTGCAGCCATATCCTGGCTGAGACTAGCCTTGCTCCTAGCTCCCATGTGTTCGGTTTCTACTAAGGGAAGGAACAGAGACAGTGGGATTTTCCTTGAGAAACGCTGCTTGATCTGCTTAGCTGCATGTTTGTACATTTGTATGAGTGAGAACCTCAGGTTTGAAGTAAGGATGATAACCCCATTAGTTTCTGCAGGTTTTCTCCTTCTGCTTTTTTAAGTTTCTAATGTTTGTGGTTCCAGGGCTCAGCTCAGAATATTGTCAGCATGGCTTTACCTTGCTGAACAGAAAGCATAAAATTTTTGCATAGGAGATGTAAGCTTTAGGCGTGGCCAACCCGTGGCATGCGTGCCAGAAGTGGCACAGGCACCTGCATGTTGGATATGGCAGATCGGTCAGAAAATGGAGCGGCAAATTGGGCAGGGGCAGGGGATTGCATTGGCCCTTGGGAGAGGGTACAGGGCTTACCCTGTGGCATACCAACCAAAATGGTTGGTCTTCACTGGTTTACCTGAAGGGGGTGTTGATTCTGAAGTCTAATGATGATATGAATATCACTATTTATTTCCTTACAGAATATATGGGAGAAAATATTTAGGTTACATAAGATAAATGTTATGGATGAGGAAAAACAATTTTCAGGTCATCTAGTTTCTCCCTGCAGGGGCAAATCAGATTTCCCTAATGTATATTCTTCATGGCTTTTTTCCAGACTGCTTAGAGATGGCTCAAATAATGTGGTTTCCAGTACATAATCAGACAGGCTGTTCTGGAAATCCTTTTTTTTTTTAAACCAGTTTCTCATCTCATGATGCTGACACTTAAGGTATGTCCAAGCACATACATGGCCGCACTTCATATAGATGTGCCCAAGTGAGCTTTAAATTAGCTGCTCAGGTAACAAAACAATGTAGTTGCAGCAGCTCAGCTCAGCATACTTGCTGGTTTCTGAGTAGCTTTTGTAGTGCTTAGTGGTGGCTGCCTTGTTATTAAAAGCCAGCTCTGGTATGCCTGCAGGAGCTGCAGCCCTGTGCGCATGCATTTAGTTTTACTCCTGGCCTTGGAGGAGAATCGCTGGTCTAGTGCCAGTCCATAAAACTTACCTTAAGGGCTGATGTGTGGTGTGCCCAGAATGTTTAAGACTTTTTTTTTTTTAAACTATCTATATCTACAAAC